ATCGGTAGATCAATCAGAGCTAGACATTAACACCGTTGGATGCCGGCCCAGTGGTCCGATGGTTAGGCGATCTCGCACAATGCCGAAGGTCCCGGGTTCGAATACTGCGAGGAGCAGGAGTCGTGGGTGCGCACTACTGGTGAGTCCCATACCAAGACGAAACGGGGCCGTCTTCCAGTGCTTCCAGGTTTCTATTAATGGTGGTCTAACAACTATGATCGATTGATGATTTCAAATGTGTAAAAACACAAACCTCCAAAACTCTGTCCCGAAATTAATTATTTAAAAATGAAATAAATATGTATTATTTATTATATCCGACTAATATGGACGGAGTTCCTTTCTGTGAGATAGAACAAAGCAGATATTCCAGCGGAGGAGGAAATCAGGAAGAATCGCTGCTGGAAGTGGGGGGGATAGAATACCTAACTGCGTCACAAGACAAGCCATTATACTTGGAATCCTCAATGTCAATGGAAAAGAGGAAGACTAAGAAACACATCACAGAAGTGAGAAGAATGAAGAACAATCGGGTGGCACTAGAAAGGCTGGCATAGGACAGAGTAGGTTGGAGAATGCTGGTCGGCGGTCTATACTCCATTTGGGGCAGCAGGTATAAGTAATTATGTAAGTAAGGAAAACGTAACACAACCTAAAATATCCACCTAATTTGTAAATGTTCTCTGTTATTACAAGAAGTGATAAGGTCATAGGAATGGAGGATGGCTGAGGAACACATTATACCGAGCGATGTAGATAACATCATCAACAATCATTTGTTTTAATTTTAACAGCCAGGTGTTAAGGTCATTTAACTAATTTTAAAAATAACTAACGGTACAGTTCCATAAAGTATAGTCAGTTAATACAAGCACACATCAGTGAATTTGGTAAAATGAAAGTGTCTCTAAACCAAAATGAGCATGGAGATAGGTGTTCGAACTAGGCGATTCAGTTAGTCATAGTTTATGGTAAACTAACATTCCGATTGATAAGTTTAAGTGATGTTTTGTCAAGATAGTCTACCTTCTTTAGTTTTACTTACCCTTTGAAGTCATTTCGGTAGGTGTCGAATAACTACCTGGTTGGGGTCCGCGAGATGATAGTAATCGATGGTTAGAGAGACCTTGAATAACATGGCTCAAAATCATTTGCAATGGCCCAGGCGCATCCACTCTCTGTGTTCGCTCAAATTCCAATCATCTGAATTCCTCATCACCTTTATCATTTTCTTTTTAAGTTTATTTCACTAGATTCTACTTCTTGAATAATATTCTCGAACATTAATCTCTCCGATTACTGCTAATGCTTGTACTACCTCAACTACTATGGAATTCGAAGTGACAATTGCACCTCTGTGTGCTAATGTGGTATGGAAACTTGCACTGATGTATATACGTATGTACGTTGTTCAACGTTGCTGCTGATTGATTGATTGACTGACTTAAGAAGGTATTGATCTTCTACTGCTAACAGACATTTTTCTTGTTGACTTAAGAAGACGCCGATGATTTGGTTCTATTTAGTGTAGACGCTGAATAAACAACCCAGTCTATCAATGACTGTCTTATGGTAACAACAATGCAATAAAGATTATTGTTGGAAGTACATTAATAATTTTACTATTACTATCACTCTTGGATTTGAACTGACAGTTACGTCTTTGTGCTGACGTGGTATGGCAACCTGAACTGATGTATTGATGTACGAAGTTCTGCGTTGTATCTGTCTGTCTGTCTGAGGGAAGTACATGTCTCTCTCCTTTATAACATAAGATTTTACTGTACGACTAGTATGCATTAACGCTGGGGTTAATGATAAAGTAAGTTACGTAATTGATTGCTCGTATATCGTGGGACAACCGAGTAAGTAATGCTGTTGTAAGGAAACGGGTGGCAGATCAATGGCAGATCAATAGATGAAGTGGTGAAACTTCATCAGTTGAGGTGGTTGGGACATGTGTGGACACGTATGCCTAACCACCGACTGCCGCGACGAGCTATGTTTTGTGGTGTCAGAGTAGGTTGGAAGAAAGTTAGGGGCGGCCAGACCAAAACATGGCACAAATCCATGAAGTCATTGACTAGTGGACTGAGTCATGTTGGTAGTTGTAGACTACGTGGTTGGGGTCCACAAGACGAAAGTCACCAATGGTTATGAGAGACCTTGGATGACATGGCTCAAAACCGTTTGCAATGGCCCAACTGTATCCATTTGTTGTGCTCTCTCAAATCCTAATCTTCTGGATTCATCAGCACCTCTACCTTTTTCTTTCTAACCTTATCTCACTCACTGAATTATACTTCTTGAATAATATCTTCAAACCCTACTAGTCTTCTTCATTACCATTATTACCACCTCTACTATCTTTATCACTATGGGATTTGAATTGACATTTGCGGCTCTGTGTTAATGTAGTGTAGCAACGTGAACTTATGTACATAGGTACGAAGTTCTACGTTGCAACTGACTGACTGACTGACTGATGTTAAGTAATTGAGTGTATTATTTATTTAGAAAATCTTATCACCTGTAGAGGAGGAGTCGATGTTTGTTTGACGAAACCTAAGTTCGATTGGATTTCGACAATTTGCGTCACATTTAGCAAAGATGTATCATCCGTCTATCAGTCAAAGGACGAGTATACAATAAACACAGAGAACGATCGCGTCTGGTGTTTAGGGGGAATAGGTTAGAAGAAAGTTAGACATAGATAAATCCAACAAAGACATAACACCAATATCCATGAAAGCATTGATCTGATTCACATATAGGCAAGTGCAAACTACTACCGTTGTGGTCAGCGTGGTTTTGGATCATAGGGTACCGAAACTGTTCACTCACAATGAAGCAGATACATTCAATTCAAGCGTAACCTTTTTTTTCAAGAGTTTCCATGTAGTAGTAAATTATTGATATACATATAAATATATCACCGACATTTTGATTGGTTGAGAGTCAGAGCTTTACTTTCTCAAGGTCATATTACCAAGGTCACTCACTTACTGAAGGACATCAACAACAATGTAGGTTATTTCACGGCCTGATATTTTGCAATAGTCAGAGGCATATTAAAATCGAGATAGATGAGGTTCGACAGCGATTTTTAGTAGTATAAGGGGAATGCGATTTGTGAAGTGTGTTGGATTTTCATAGTTCACATTATGAACTAACAACGAAACTTTTACAGTTCAATTGAGAATTTGTTGATCAGTGGAATTCAATTGTGATAGGTTAGAAAAACAATGAATTATTCACTGTAGGCAATACTGTGAATAGATCGAAGCGAGACACTAAGGAGTGGTAGATAAGTAGTCTAGAACACTTCTGTTCCACACGCAACAATAAATGCAGATGGCCATTGTAGCAGCAACCTCCCTAACACTAGGACTCAATGTACACATGGAGAAAAAATTAAGAGCCTCTGTTAAAAGACCAAATCACACTTGATGGAGCTCTAGGTGAAAATCTTTACATAACTAGGCAGTATGCAAGGTACTTCTGATCCGTTGGTCAGACATCATCAACCAACAACCACCTACTGTGGCATAGAACAAACCAGATCCCAGTGGAAGAAGAAATCAGGAAGAACCGCTGGAAATGGATAGGACACACATTGAGGAAAGCACCCAACTACATCACAAGGCCAAAGGAAAAGAGGAGGGTCAAGGGACACATTATGTCGAGAATCGGAAGTAGACATCAAGAGAATGAGCAACAATTAGACAGAACTGGAAAGCAAGGCCCAGGGGCAGAGAAGGTAGGAGAATGCTAGCCTGCGGCCCATGCTCTCTTTTAGGGGTAACAGGTATAGTAAGCGAATAGGTTAACCATTCGCGCGATAAACCTGAGTTCAATACCCCTGTGGTAGGATTATGTGCAGCGACTGCAGTCAGACAGTCAGTCAGATGAAACGTAGAACTTCGTACGCAAATACATCAGTCCATGTTGCCATACTACATCAGCACAGAGATATAATTGTCAATTCAAATCCAATAGCGGTAGAGGAAGTAAAGATATCGGAAGTAATCGGAGAGGTAAGGATTAGAAGATATTATTCAAGAAGTATGATTCAGTGAGATAAGTTTAAAACGTCAAAACTATATTTGAAGAATCCAGAAGACTGGGATTTGAGAGGACACAAAGAATAAATGCAAACGGTTTTGAGCTATGTCATTCAGGGTCTCTAACCATCGATTATTATCATCTCACGGACCCCAACCAGCTAGTCGACAACTACCGACATGACTCAGTTCACTTGTCAGTGACTTCATGGATTTCTGTCATGTTTTAGTCTGGCCATCCATCAAATTCTTCCAACCTACTACTCCTACACTACAAAACAAAGCTCGACGAGGCAGTCGGTGGTTAGGCATACACAACACATGTCCCAACCACCTCAACTGATGAAGTTTCACTAGTACTTCATCTATTAATCTTCCATTCTTACCTAGCACCCATTTCCTAATAACAGCATTGCTCACTCGGGTGTCCCAGGATGTACGACCAATGCTTCGAAGATATCTATGATCGAATACCAGTAACCGACGAATATCTTCTACTATCATTGGCCATGTTTCACAGCCATAAAGTTAGACGGAGCGAACTACTGCACAGTACACTCGTCCTTTAGTCAACAAACGGATATCACGCCTACGCCATAAGTGACGCAGGTTGGCAAAAGCCAATCGAGCTTCCTGTATCCGCGCTGAGATTTAGTCAGTCACCAGGCTATCAGCGCTGATGAGACTCCCTAGATAAGTGAAGTGATCTGCCATTCTTCTTACCTAGTACCCGATTCCCCTAATAACAGCATTGCTCACTTTCGGGTGTCCCACACGATAATACGAGCAATGATGCATCGAAGACACCTCGATGATCAAAAACCAGTAACCTACGAATATCTTCTTTTCTCACTGCTTAAGGAGTTTCAATGACCAATTATTATGGTGAAAACAAGGAAGAATTTCAATGAAAATAAAAAAGGCTAACTAACTCACCTGTAAAATGACCATTTCAATATTAATTGATGTGCTGCTTTTGTATAAGCTAAACTATTACCTTCCAGCGGTTGTAATATACTAGTCACTACTGTATCTAACCACTGTGCCCATTCTTCCAATGAGGCATGTTTCTGTAGAATACATTTAAAATCTTGTTCTAATTGACTAACAATCGAGTCATTGCATTGACATACCCATGATGCTTGTTCCTGTAGAAATATTAGAGAGACAGACACACAGAGAGAGAACATAAGTAAATCATAGTGGATTATATATAGAGATATGTTACATGAGGGCAGAACAATGACGGGAAACATTGTAGTTAAATATATATACTGTTGTGGTGTTTGGTTCTCTCGAAACTGGATGATGTGATTTGGTTGTGGAGCTTTCATTGTTGTTCTTCTACTGAACAACAGACAGACGGATACAACGCAGAACTTCGTACGTAAGTACATCAGTTCAGGTTGCCATACCACATCAGCATAGAGAGATGGAATTGTCAATTCAAATCCAGGAGTGATAGCGATAGTAGAAGTATTAGCAGTAATGGAGAAGATTACGGAGCGAAGATATGATTCGACAAGCATAATTCAGTGAGAGAAATTTAGAAGGAGAACGATTCTGAGCCATGTCATTCAAGGTCTCTAACCAACCACGTAGTCTACATCTACCAACATGACTCAGTCCACTAGTCAGTGACTTCATGCATTTGTGCCATATTTTGGTTTGGCCGCCCCTCCTAACTTTCTTCCAATCTACTCTTACACTGCAAAACATAGCTCGTCGCGGCAGTCGGTGGTTAGCCATACGTAACACATGTCCCAACCACCTCAACTGATGAAGTTTCACTACTTCATCTATTGATTTGCCATCCCTACCTAGAACTCGTTTCCTAACGACAGCATTCCTTATCCTATGTCACCTATGATTTTTCTGATTAGTTGATAAATAGGATCAATGTCGATGTGTTTGTTAATTGCTGATTGACCTGAGTGACAAGCTTCGAAAATTCTCTAGTGTGTTCTTTGTGCTTCCACTATCCAGTATTTCCACATTGTCCCAATCGAATGTATGTCCATAATTGCCCGTATGTATTGATGTAGGGGAAGAAATGTCGTGTTATTTGGCTGCTGATAGGTGTTCACGTAAACGGACATGAAGAGGCCGTCCACAAAGAAAACTAGAGAATTTTTAGGAGCTTGGCACTCAAGTCAATCAGCAATCAACAGACACATTGACATTGACCCAATTTATCAGCCAATCAGAAAAATCATAGATGACAGGATCAAGAGAGAGATCAAAGGGGGATAGTAGTCAACGACAGGTTTAGGGTCAACAACAACCAATCAAGATCGAGGTAAACAACACAAGCTACAGGTCAAACGTGAAGAAATTCGAATACTTCACTTCTGCTATCTGAAGTTTGTTCTGATGATGTTGTTTGTTGTTCAGTAGAAGAACAATGTAAGCTCCACAACCAAATCACATCATCCAGTTTCGAGAGAACGAAACACCACACCAATCATCAGCAAGGCAGTTGACTGACTTTACGTTCATACGACATTTGTTCTCTCAAAATCCTAGAACCAATGTACACAACTGGTTTGGAATTAGGGTTTTTTACAACTCACCTAGACGGATTGTCCGTATCTACTAACGAACATTTTTAAGCACTGGGTATTGACATTTTGTTCTCCTGATTTCGTGAAAAACAACTTTAACACGAAAGAGTAATGTTTTCATGGATTAGTGTTAGTTCTTGGTTTGATTTATCTATCTTTGACTTTCTTCTAACCTATATTCCTCCAACATCAGACGACATCGGTCGTCGATGTAATCGGGAGATGCGCATGTGTAATGCATCATGTCCCAAATATTTTAGTCTATAACAATTCACTACTGGGTGGATCGATTCACTATCGCCATACGTAGTACAATGCACATTACATGAGAGTTGCTATCTAGGGATAGTTCCAAAATATACAAGCAATACTTGGAAGGCATATACGATCGAATACCAATAATTTACGAACATCCTCTATCCTTGAAGTTTATTTTTTTACAGAGAGAGTGAATTGTTGAATGGAATCTCAATAGGAATTCAAAAAATCAAGCTGAATTTTGCCAACTTACGTCACTTATGGTGTAGAAAAAATGTGCACCTGACAATCAAACAATGATATAACCTGCACACAGATTTAAAGTTTTAAAATTGCCTCCTACCTTTTATTCAATGAAATTATACAGTTTCTTATCAATACACTCCATTATCGAAATTATGAACTGATCAGTATGAGGTCACTATTAGAAAACCGAAAGCACTGGATGGTCGTTTCATTCTAAGTACGGAACTACTCCTCAGTGGTGCACATAAACGACCACGCATGCCTGGGACCTTCAGTTTCGCACTCCGAAACTAAACCTTGAGTTGTTATCCAACGATGTTAGTGTTTAACTTTTATCAATTCACAGTATTCCATGATCATCACCCATAGTCTTTGGTTAGGTGTTCGTTCGTGAGACTGAAGGTTCTGAGTTCCATTCCCGCGTGCAGCGTCATGGATGCGCACTATTACTGTTTAGGAATAAATGACCGCCCAGTGGTTCCAGGTTTTTCAATGGCGGTCTAGTTAGGATCAGTCCAAGATTCCAACTGTGAAAAAAAATACAGCGTCCATAAATACCCCCTACTAATCTCAGTCATTCAGTTACCCTTTTCCTATACACCAGCACTGTTTACTTGATGGTTCCAGGATATATGGGCAGTGATTTGAAAACACCTATAAACTAGTGACCTACGAATATCCTCGCTTCTTTTAGTAGCCACGTTTCACATACGTACAGTAGAACAGAGCGAACGGCTGTGCGATAAACTTGTTCGTTGGTTAGCAAACGGATACCCCCTAACCCTAACCAAATCAATGCGCTTACTTCTGATGAGGAGTGTGTCATGAACTAGAATAACGAAAAACACACAGTCCTTCACAGTTTTCTTTTCGTTCCAAATAGTAGGAATTACAGTAATTACAGTTAGTCAATCAGTCACTTAAAACGTAGAACTTTGTACGTACATCATTTCAAGTTGACATACTACTACTAATGGGACATTACAATATGTGTGTGTTACACAAAATCAAATCACACAGACGGTAATCGAACTTCGGAACTTCAGTTGCGTGCTCGGAAACTAAACCTTGAGTTGTGATCCAACGATGTTAGTGTTTAACTTTTATCAAGTCACAGTATTCCATGACCTTCACCCATAGTCTTTAGTTAGGTGTTCGTACGTGAGATAGACGGCTCTGGGTTCTATTCCCGCGTGCAGCGTCATGGATGTACACTACTACTGTTTAGGAATAAACAGCCGCCCAGTGGTTCTACGTATCCAATGGCGGTCTAGTTTGTTTACTTGATGGTTCCAGGATATATGAGCGATGCTTTGACTGATAATTAGTAACCCACACAGTAGGATCACATTACATGCTCTAGTCAGCCAGTTACAAAGTGGAACTTCGTATGTACATACGTACATCAGTTCACGTTGACATACTACTACTACTACTACTACTACTACTAATGGGACATTACAATATATACGATCGAATAATACCAATAATTTACGAACATCCTCTATCCTTAAAGTTTATTTTTTTTTTACAAACCTTAAAGTAGAACAGAGCGAGAATTGTTGCATGGAATCTCAGCAGGAATTCAGAAAGTCCAGCTGAATTTTGACAACTTACGTCACTTGTAGTGTAGGAGAGATGTTTATCCAACAATCAAGAAACGATATAAACTATACACAATTAAAGTTTTAAAATTGTCGCCATGGAATTCTACAGTTTCTTATCAATACACTCAATTATCGAAATTATGAACTGGTCAGTATGAGGTCATTATTAGAAAACCCCAGGCACTGGATGGTCGTTTCGTCCTAGTATGGAACTCCTCAGTGGTGCGCATAAACGATCCCACACGTAGAAATCGAGCCCCGGACCTTCAGTTGCCATTCAACGAAGTTCATGTTTAACTTTTATCAATTCACAGTATTGTATAACCATCATCCATCGTCTTAGGTTAAGCAATCGCACGTGGGATCGAAGGTTCTGGATTCTATTCCCACGCGCAGCGTCGTAGATGCACACTACTACCGAGGAGTCCCATACCAGGACTATGCGACCACCCAGTGGTTTCAGGTTACCAATGGAGGTCTAGTTAGGATCAGTTCGTGATTCCAACTGTGAAAATTATACAATCTCCATAAATCCCCCCTTAGTCAGTCAATCATACATGAGCAATGCATTGAAAACACACCTATGCCTGGTAACTAGTAACCTGCAAAGTAGTACCACATAACAACATACTCTTTTCAGTCAGTTAGTAAGTCAGGCAGCTACAACGTGAAACTTCGTACGTACATACTTACGTACATCAGTTCACGTTGACATACTACTACATTACAATATATATGTGTGTATTACACAAAATCAAATCACTTACTTGTACATTATTAAAATCAACACGATTTAAATCAGCTAACATTTGATTAATTTGATTGGCATTTTTTAATACAGCACGTGCAGCTTGTGCTACATGATTTAAACTAGTATAACGTCGTAGAGTTTGTGCTAATGCACATACAGCTGATAGCTTTAAACTAACCAATGCTGTATCTAAACCTTGTATAGCTTGACGCATCCAACCCTTAGACAAAACAAAACAATACAAAGATAAACCATATGAGAAGAAAAGATTATTTATAGTGGTTGTTTAACAAACATATTTTGAAACATATTATGAAAACACATTGAGCATCATCTACAACCTCACCATCACCACCACTACCGGGGATCGAACCCAGAACTGTAAAGTTACATAATCAAAGTTTAAGCTTTGAATTTTATTTACACTAAACATGAGTGAACTTCATTGGTCATATAGTAGTGAAGGAGAACACAGGTGAGGGGCAACAAGAAATTGTATGTATTTAACGAAAATTACAGAGTTACTCAGTAAAATAGGAAAACTATATCGTAAATCGTTGTTAATTTGCAAATCTTCAATCCATCATCAATCCATTGTTGTCTGACTTTTCACCACTATTCATGCGTTTCATACAAATTCCATTGTGTTCCCACACTTCCTTTCTTGTTGATCTTCCCCCATCTTCTGTTGCTGCCAGGCATTACGTTTACACTCGTGTCAT